AAAGAAGAGAATCCTTCGGAACAATAAAGAAGATGTTGTGAAGCCAAAATGGAAAGAAAGAACAAGTAGAAGAGAACGCGATACAAAAGTCATTAACGTTCTTCAGGAGCAATATGAGGAAGGTCCTCAGTCAAAAAGCTGAAGAATTAGTAAAGTTTCATATTGTTGGCTACTTTTCTCGTCATATGGTAAGAACATTCGTCACGATCTTTATCATTTCATTGTTCTATTAAAGATAAAATAGATGCAGATTATTTAATCATCTAATTTTTATACAAATGGATCATATCATATTAAAATATATTAAGCCCCCGTTTAATTCTCATTCTTTGGCTACAAAAATGAAAAATATGACCGTTATCCATTACATCATACCATCATATTTGACTTTCTATTTCTCGTGTGGGTCCCGTAACAACTATATTTTTCATTTTCATTCTTAGAAAAATGAGAATTAAATGGGGCCTAAATATTGAGTTTAAGTCTCATTGCTATACATTTATAAAAAGCACACGACCTACAAGTATGGTTGCATTCAGCTACTAGAAATTAATTGTTCGTGTGCAAGCCATTTTCTACAAAATAGGGATTCATTGGACACACTCTTGAAGGACAAATAGAATGTCTAGTTCATTTTAGGAAATAAAGAACATGGAAAAATTAGTCTACTCAATGGATAATAAATGAGACATTGATACTTACTTTAGAACAACTCACGTGAATGAGCTTAGAGAATTTGACTATTCAATTGACTTTAAATCGAGAGAATAGAATGACTTAACATAATTAGAGTAAGCAAATCATGAGTTGATTTGATCTAACTGTATGAGCATAATTTCTTTTGAAGAGAAGAATCAATGCAAAAGGAGTTCGACCAGATCTGGTGGGATCGAATTTGATAACGAATACACAAATCAATAGAAGTTCCTACTAGTAAGTTTCTCTAAGTCCACAGTTGACTATTCTCCGCATCGTAGCATAACTTCTACTACAACACACAATGGCTACAACTCTGAAAGAGAAAAACAAGTTGAAGCATATCTGGACAAACATCCTAAGTAATGACATTTATTGCAGCAACATGTGTCACATTATCTTTGTGTAATTAATCACATTGAGAAGGCGACTCAATCAGCCCAATGTCCCACCCTGCCTAGCCTACTATGAATCATGTGACAATCATAAAAAAATTACGTTGTTTTTTCCTTTGTGGGACGACACGTGTCACACAATCTTCATTCAAACCCCTTTATTTCTTTTTCTTTTTCTTTTCTTGGTCAAAAAAACGCAGAAATAATGCAGCCCTATTTCAGCGTTGCTTAAATGGCACTCAACTTCACTTGTATATTCATATCCCCTTCCTCCTCCCTCCAAAAGGAAAAATGGAGCTTGCTCTTGAAAATCCATTGGCGAGCTACGAAGACCAGCAAAACGATGACGTTTCAGCTCTCTTCGGCAATGAATCAGATCACATGCATTGTCTACTCTCCTTCAAATCCTCCGATCTTCGTTTCTTTATTCGACGCCATGCGGTATCGCAAATCTCTAATGTAAATTCATTATCTAGAAAAACAGAGAATTCATTAGTTTTTTGCGTAAAAATTTAATTGATTTGTGTTTTTTCTATATATTTTCAGGCGCAACTGTGTTATGGTTTAGATCCGTTTGTAGTCTACCTCTCTGTCAATTACATCGATCGCTTCCTCTCAAAACAAGAAATTCTAGTAAATATTTATACTATTATTTGATATTGTATTAGTGAGCAATATATTAAACTTGATACTAATCCAGGAAAAAAAGCCGTGGATTGCTCGCATTCTGGTAGTTGCAACCCTATCACTCGCTTAGAAGATGAACAACTGCAATTTAGCAAATTCAATCTCCGATTTACAGGTACACAAAATATCACATGATGAGAATATTGCGTAAGTTAAGAATGCCAAAATTAATGCATAATTTCCATTGAAACAGAGACAAAAGGGTTTTGAATTCGATGGACATTCAACCCAGCGAATGGAGGCTATCATTTTGGAGGCTCTGGGATGGAGAATGCGATCCATCACACCTTTCTCATTTCTCAATTACTTCATCTCTCTCTCTGAATCGATGATTCTTCATTAATCGTGGCTCTCAAACAACGAGCTTCATATATCATCCTTGATTCGCAGCATGGTAATTATCTACTTTTCAAAAGAAAAATGATAAGCTTGATAGTGACTAATATTGTTTTGATTTTTAATTCCAGAATTAAAGCTTCTGGAGTATAAACCATCGACAATCGCAGCCTCAGCGCTTCTCTGTGCGACTCAAGACTTAATTCCACTCAAGTTTTCTTCGTTTAAAGACAAAATTTCATCCTGTCAATACATAAATCAAGTAAGATACTATAAATTATACACATATTAACCTCTCAAGTGTGAGCATATTATTCAATTTGAGTTCCGAGATTCGTCGAACTCAATATTTAAAAATTGTGCACATATCAGCACATTTAATTGTGAAAGATGGTTAGTATTAATCAATTCTGTTCATGAGATTAATTTGCTATTTTTGCTAATGAGATTAATTTCATTGTGCTATTGCAGGAGAGGTGGTTAGATTGCTTGCGCGCAATGAATCATTGACTTCCAACGCACAATATCTGAGAGCAATAATACCAGTACTTGAAATCATGTAATTCTCAAAAGAGACTGCACCAAGAAACGGAGGAGATTGAATAATGGACCTTGCTACATGTACATTAAGCGCTGTTTAGACATACGACTTTACCTGTGAAGCCTCAGTAGGCGTTCTTTCTCCAAATATTAAATTAAAAATGCAGAAGAAAATGTTTTAAAAAGGGGGTAAAAAGAAGAAATAAATGTTACTACTTTTCTTTTGTGTATATATATATATTTTAATATTTTTATAGCAACGGCCTTAGAGGACTTCTATTTTTGCCATCAAAATGGGTAATTAATTAGAAGAAAGATATGGAAGCTTTTCCAGGAAAGGATAAAGACCACATCCTAATAATCAGTATCTGAGCATCGTCTAAACATAAGACTCTGGCCAGGGTCGGTCCTATGATTGTCGGAGCCCGAGGCAAAGTCTAAAAATTGGGCTCCCCCTCTCAAAATCATCGTAAATGCAATGTATGTATATATATATATATATATATATATATATATATATAGTTGGGTAATTGGACTAAGGCTAAGGGCATTGGATTGGATTTGGGCTTGAAGTTGTGGGCTGCATTTCTGCATCACTAGGTCTGGTTCAAGTTCAACTAATAAATAAATAAATAAATAAATTTCTAGGCCCAAAGTGAGGCCTCCCAAGATGTTGGCCCTGAGGCATAGGCCTCATTTGCCTAGCCTCAGGATCGGGACTGACTCTGGCTAGGAGCTAGAGAAGGTCGTGTTATAAAAAGCGAGACCTTGTTCGAAGTAATACAGAGAAACTCCATGCTCTGAATTGAAGAATTCGGAATTAGCTATACAGAAGCTAACAGAACCCAATGATGCTGGCTAAGCTTGTCAAGCCACAAGTTAAAGAGAAGGACTTCATAAGTGAGCCTCTTTATAAGCAACACAGAAACTTCATACAATTGAAGAACTCAAAACTAGATATATTCGAAGCCACCCAAATTCACCCAAAAATTTCAACAGCAGACGAAATTACACTCAAAATCCTAGATAAGACGACTTCATTTCTGCTGAAGGACACAATCTCTAATATATAATATAATTTATTAAAAATCATTTTTTAGACGATTTTAGTCTTATTATAATTTAATTATTTCAATAATACTTTACTTTTCGTTTTTCAATATGTATTTAGTTTATTTAAGTATTTAACTACTATCAATATACGTGTATATTTGACAAATTCATTTAACCTGTGTGATTTCGAATTTCCTGTTATTAATTCTCAATTAATTAATATTCAGTGTTATTAATTCTAATTGAAAGTTAATTATAATTTCCCATTCAAGAATACATTTCATTATTAATATTCATGTATACTAATTAACATCCAATTTTACTTAATTGAAAATTAAATAAATGAATTCACATTCATTGTTACGTATATATTCCATGATAGTAATTCTAAATTAATTAACATTCACGCATATTCAAATATTACCTTTACGGTGCTTATAAAACATTTCATAATAACGTGCAACGTTGACTAGTATAAACAAAAGTTCCTGTCTCTAAAACTTGCTGAAATTAATCAATTACAACACAATCTTGAGCATTAAAATAAAATAAGCACCTCCCCCCCCAAAATTTTGAAATAAAAAAAAAAAAAACCCCCCCCCCCCCCCCCCCCCCAAAAATTAAAATAGGTGAAATAGTATTTTTTTGAAGAATTAGTGATCGAAAAAGAAGGAAAAATTTTCGATTAACACATAATATTATTTTATTAAAAATTGTGTAATTAAAAATAAGAGAAAAAATGAAATTAAATTAACAACGGCCAAAAGGGGGCTAAGCCACTCAAAAACCTAATGTTGCTCTGACAATTAACTATTTTGAAAAAATGTCAACATTTTTGAGATTTTCCCGTTAATTGAAGTCAGCCCAACAAAAGGATGAAGGGCGAGAACTTGATCCACAAAAGGTTCTTGTAGTCAAAATAATGTCCTAACAGAGCGCTCAAGAATCAAATTAGTATTAAACGACTCAATTCAGAGTAATGGTATAGTTGCTGCACGGAGACAAGAAAGCCAGTTTGGAAGACATGCATACAAAGTAACAGGCTATCTGAAGACAGACTGAAATCCATTTTATAAAACCATGTCATGACTAGGCGAAACATGAAGCATAATTCCCTTTTATAAATTGTACAAATAGGTTTCCAAACCTGCCCATCCTGATTAAAAAGCCCTTCTATCATATTAGTCAAGCCACAAGTCTGAGAAATTAAATCAAACGTATCATAAGAATGGTAATTTTTGGGAACCATACAACAGCATACACGCAACAAAAATAAATAGAGCTGGCTATCCATTTAGAGTGATGATCATCACCTGTCACATAAGCATTACTCAACAAAGATTTTACATAGTTTGAATCAATATAAATACTAGCATTCAATGCCTCAAAATGGATGAGTTCTCAGCACATTTACGAGGGAAGTTTATGCAGTTGAGAAATGTAAAGTGTTTGCTGCTTTTCAGTTGGCCACATCAAACGTAAATCAAGCCCAGCAAAAGATGCATTTCAAACACTACTACATCACAGTTAAGATAATAAAACAACATAGATGCAGCTACAGATTATATGAAGCATTGATGTCAATGGAATTTAAAGAGTGATATATATGCAACTGAAAATGAATCACTCAGCAAAATCAAGTCTTCATTGCAGGTCTTACAAGCCCCAGCCCTGAACCACTTCCTAAATGCTTAAAGTCAGTTGCTTCAAGATGATCTCCATGGGCTACAAAACCAGTTCCTCCCTTTTCCAACTTGACCAGATTCCTCTCTTTGCATGGCTTGTCGCAGACTAGGCAGACCTTATCAACAGCCATGAATTTCTCGGCGCATTTCTTGCAAAAAACATGACCACAAGAACTCAAGGCCACAAGTGACAGCGTGTTTGTAAGTGTGACCTTGCAGCTGGGACAGATGTAGCTCTTATCAAGAGAACTAGATTTCTTTTGTACGCTGGCATCTTCTGTGAAGTAGATAGGGAAAAGCGTCTTCATTCTGAGTTTTTCCTTTCCTTCTGGACAGATTGTGTCAGTCAATGGGACCTCTACTTTTGCAGGAGCTTCTGGAGTTGCAGACGGCAGCCAAAATGCTTTCATTGTGCGGAGTGCTTCCTCTTCATATGATGTGGCCTTCACACTGTTAGCCCCATGGAAACCATTTTTGTCCCTGTTGAAGTTCTTATCATTGTACTGCGGTACTGCCCCATGGTTCTGTTGATCAAATGCATCGAGATCTCGGGCTTTCTGCAACATCAACTTCTCTTCTTCCTCTTCTTTTTCCTGCTTCTGCTGACCAGCATGGGCCGCTATCTTTCTGCACTTTAGTACAACATCTAGATAAATAGATAAACTAAAAGACGTAATGTTAATAGAAATATCACTTGAAGTGTCCCACCAGAACGCAGCTGAAAAAGAGGAAATATGATTTACAAGTAGCTCTCCCAAATTTATTTCTCCGGTAACTTGTAAAACAAGTGGCACAAACTGCAAAGACAATAAATTCATTTGGACATACTATTTAGCTACTAGTTCAACCAAGCTGCCACATATCATGTACAAGGGGAACAATGGCTACAGAATCTAAAGTTATTTCAAGTAAGATATGAAATAATTGTAAGTTCTATCATACACCCTGTGAAAACGTGCAAATAAAGTCATTTAAAGTCTTCCACCTGAACGCAGGTGAAAAAGAGGAAATATGATTTACAAGTAGCTCTCCCAAATTTATTTCTCCAGTAACTTGTAAAACAAGTGGCACAAACTGCAAAGACAGTAAATTCATTTCAACATAGTATTTAGCTACTAGATTCACCAAGCTGCCACATATCATGTGGAAGGGGAACTATGACTACAGAATCGAAAGTTATTTCAAGTAAGATCTGAAATAATTGTAAGTTCTATCATACAGCACATGAAAACGTGCAAATAAAGCATCCAAGATAAAGTTTTCTCTCTTAAGAAATACAATGCTATTCAGGACCATTCGAAAACATTTTCCCTTAATTAAAAAACGATAAGAAAAACTAAACTTGAGATACCAACAGAGTTTTTAGGTCTAATGACAGTTGGACCATAATTAGTTAAGTCCTTGCATAGAATGTCAAAAGGTTACTTGGGTATGGACCTACTCTTTGCATATTATGCACGGAACAGCATACGATAATGTGGTTGCATCCATTGCATTCTCCACTAACCATTTAACGATGTCTTACAGCACAACGTGCTTTGTTGTATCTACTAGGTAACTCAAAAACAGAACATACAAAGTGCCATCATTTCAGTTAGAAAGGGAAGTTTTTTCACTGTTATATTAGGACCCTGTTTGTTTCCCTTTTTTTTTTTTTTAATAAGAATGCATTTTGAAATAGTTAATTGATGAAGAACGCGCGGTTAAGAATTAAGAAATTTTTTTAGTTTTGCGTGTAATATTATTTTATTGAAGAATGTGTGTTTGAAAAAAAGAGGGAGAAAATGTATTTTGAGAAAAATGGGTATCAAACAAGGGCTAGAAATGCTAACTGGCACCATCCAGTTTCTGTGCTACTTCGTTCAATTCACTCTTCCTAAGACATTTCCCGATTAATGAAAAGAATCAGAGTCTGCTCTCAACTGAAAGAGTTCCAATTCCAAAACCCCACATTCAATTAAGCTTCTAAGACCTCTTAAACTCAATACATCCAGGAGTTCACAAAACCCATCACATTTCTTCACATAGACCTTTCCCAGTTAGTCTCGATACATAATCAAAAAATCCAAGACCAAATTAAATGAATCATTTAATCAACAGAACCACTGGTTTTTCTTGACCAATTTATAAGTTCATGTGGATATAAAATCCTTATGCTTCGCGTAATAACTAAATTGATATGAAAATTTGACAGCAGAAGTTACGCCAAAAAAAAAATAAAAAATAATAAATAATAAATCGAAAAATCAAAACTACACGAGATAAAAATAAAAACAACCAGGACCTTTGAATGTCTTTCTTTTGGGCCAAAAGACATTCGAAAATGCATTCTTTGCAAAAGACGTGGCCTTTCTGGCAAGACAAGGGATCAATAAATGGCTTCAAGCACAGACTGCAAGCATCGAATGGTTTTATCGAGTCCTTGCCGAGTCTTTCTTTCTGGGTACCATACCCGAGCTTCTTCTTCTCATCGTACGTAAAGAAAGCTAAATCGTTGTTGTTCTTCGAGTGTCTTTGAGGCATATTTTGGAAGAAATATTAACAATCAAGAAAGACAGGATTTGATTGGGAAATTTAGGGATCGTAGAAACCCTAGGATTTTATTCGATTTTTCCACGGCTCGTGTTGGATTGATAATTTCACAGGCGGTGACCTACTGTGAGTAATATGTATACGTGTCTCTTGAAATGGATAGAACTTTCCTTTTCTGACTGGAATTTTTGGTCAGAGAGAGCGTTTTCATCTACAGGGACGTCCGTGAAATCGATTCGTTTAGGCACCGACACCTGTTCTCTAGTTTAAAAATCCAACTTTACCCTTATCATTTAAAGAAAATAAATCGTTGAGAGAATGGGATAAAAGAGGAAAAATACAAAAAGAAGGATTTATAGCATCGATATCTTGAATTGCCTCTTTGGATAGTCAGAGAGAATTCCTTCATTTGTCTTTTCTTTTTGTCTCATTGTCTCGTTCTCTTTCCCATTCACACCAAAAAGTATTACATTCGAGTAAACTCTTCTTCGAACTTGCATGCTATTCCTATATTCTTTATTTCCCTGCTCATTGACCATTGTTCTATGTTTACCAACTACATTTATCTCAACATCAAGGAATGCAAAGCTTCTATATTGATTTCTTTCTACGCCTTTATAAATGGGAAAATCCTCCAATTAAAATGAGTCAAATGGCAAATGTTGAGTGAAATTATATATTATAGATTTTTTTTTAAACATCAAATATTGCATATTATTAATGATTGTCTTCGTGAACTGCATGATATAGAGAAATGAATTTACTCTAAACTATCAAATATAGTTTTTGTAGATAAAGATGTTAGTTTATGGGCAACCCCATCACTTATATGAAGCGAAGCTATAAGTCTTATACAATGACTTTGAAGCGAAGCAATCTCTAAAATAATTAAAGCATTTGACGCGGGCAATCTTTTGGAGATTGACCTACAATGCTTCGTGCTAAAAAATCTCATTAACGATTTCCTTCACACGTGTGAACAAGAAGGACTCTAGTATTATTGCCTCTTCATCCTCATGTGAAAGGTGCCCAAACAACTTGGCTCACAGCACAATGTGTTAATCACCATAAACAGATTGATTGATGCATTGATTTGTTATGCTTTCATCTATAATACACAAATAATCTTATGAATGTGAACCCTGCTACATTACCCCTTGGCATTACCAAGGTCTATGTGGCCCTAGTAAAAGGGTTTAACCTTATTGGTTTTGTATTATGTATATAAAAGTTTCAATATCTTTAAAAGTTAATTCGAAAAATTGTTCCATCGTTGAACACTTTTTTCAAATTAAAACTATGAAAACAAGCAAATAACTTAATTGAAAATTGAGTTTATTCATGACACATACTTGACGGTCTGGTAGATAAATAGAGAATAATTCTACACCTGATTCATGTTTTTGAGTTGTTTATAAATATTCAAGTCATTTTTTATTAAGATATTTTGAGAAATACACAGTGACGGAGCTACATAGAAGCCAGTGTAAGCATCAACTTGTACTAGACTTTGGGCTTGATACGGAAAAGTCCAATCTACTTGCTCTGGAACAAGGCTTAAGTAGGAGTAGTTTTATGTTGTCGACGATGAAACTTGCGGTAGCTACAAACGAAGAAGAGAAGGAAAAAAGGGAAAAAGCAAAGGCAACGACCATTACTTGAATTCAAGCCAAGCTTGAAGCAAAGAAAGGCCAGGACAAGGGAAAGGACAAATCTAAATAGGCTGTTTAGATAATTTCCCGATGTTTAAACTTTGAAGACATAATTTTGGAGGAAGTTATTTATATATTACAATCCAATAATTTAGAACATTGTTCAAAAAAGACCAAATCTTAACGAGTCAATTTAATACCAGACTTGTATTCAAATATTAACAACGTGTCCATATATTACCATTTCCGTAAGTTCTTCCATAGTCAGTTGAGGGTGGATGGTGTGAGGAAGAGATTATATACAAATGTGTATACGCATATGTATGTGTATATAAATTTATTAAATTGGAAGAAAACAATACTCTGATTGGATAAAAAATGTCCTTTTTAATTTTAAATGATCTAGTGGGGTTTAACTCTAGTCAAATCCTTACACCTCTACAATCAGAGTTCATATTTGGATTAATCCAAAAATATCATTTCCCATTTCATCCCAATCTCGATCCTTAAAACCTTTTGGAGTATTCATTTCCATCTTTATATGAATATTGCATCAAAGTTATAATAGTTTTGTAATTTAAAAAATCTTATTGTAGTTTTTTAAAATCTCATATTTCCTCGTGCATCGGGATTTCTCAAGATCATGTGAAGCTCTTTTCATTCTAAGATTAATTTTGGCAAAAAAAATCACTGTAACCGATATCTAAGACTATGTCCATACTGGACAAAATCCTCGACTCTGCCCCTTAATACATATGTATAGTCCATTTATCATTCACTCATTTTTCTTTGTTTATTATTTAAAATAAACTTCGCTCAAACATGCCCATTACTAAAGAATAGGAGAATTTCAGTGCACCCGGCACCACCCAAGACATACCCATCCTAACCTTATTCAATATTCCCGTCTCCACCGCACCCCCGTGAAACCAACAGTCCCAGAACACGATTACGACAGCAGTCCAACAAATACGAAAGTTCACACTCAACTATCAAATCTTCTATTCCTCAGTGAAAAGCAATTATACTCTTCAAATCCTCACAACCCACTTTATTCTTGAAAAATTAAACAAATAATATCATACACAATTGAATTTCACTGCATGGCATCACCCAAGAAACCGCCGGCAGAAACCGAACGCGTACCGTCTGCGACCCTACATCAACCAGCTTCGCCACGCTTTCCTTCCGGGACACCCATCTCTGGGGCCAATCGCAAGATCGCGATCGCCGTCGATCTTAGCGACGAGAGTGCCTTTGCCGTCAAGTGGGCCGTTCAGAATTATCTCCGTCCCGGGGACTCAGTTTTTCTCCTTCACGTTCGAGCCACATCCGTCCTGTATGGTGCCGATTGGGGTGCCATTGATCTTTCTGTCGACATCACCACAGCCATGGATGAAAAGTCCCAGCAGAAACTGGAGGATGAGTTCGATAATTTTACTACCTCTAAGGCGAATGATTTGGTGCAGCCGCTGGTGGAGGCCAATATTCCGTTCAAGATTCACATAGTGAAGGACCACGACATGAAGGAAAGGCTTTGCCTGGAGGTGGAGAGGTTGGGACTGAGTGCAGTGATCATGGGGAGCCGGGGTTTTGGGGCAACCAGGAGGCACACCAAAGGGATGCTTGGGAGCGTCAGTGATTACTGTGTGAATCATTGCGTATGCCCTGTGGTCGTGGTGAGGTCTCCGGACGAGAAAGATGGAGGCTCTGCTAATACTGGTAGTGACAGTGAGGGTTCGACTAAGGCAAGAAAGGATGTTGAGGGGCTTCATCCAGTGCCAGAGGAGGAGCCCGTGTATCATGATGCTTTGGACAAGACTAGCGGTATGACTTGATAATGCATATCAGTCTATAAGCATTAGCTTCAAATATGATTTGTTTTTTGTTTGTTTCGAATTTATGGAATGGAATTGAGAGCTTGTTGGTCTTGTGATGATGAATATAGATTTTATAACTTTGTCTTTTAATATTGCACTAAATAAGAGATGGAGGGAAGGAGATAAGAGAGGACAAAATAAGTTTGAAGAGTGGTTTTATGATAGTTAACTGTTGATTTATTGAAAGTTTGTGTCTATAGTTTAAAAAGGATTTCTCCTGCTGGAGTTCATAAGTGGATTGAGAGATTGGTTTTCATGGAAAATTGGATGACTTGGATTTTGATGGAAGTGGGAGTTAAGTCGTTCATTTATTTGATTTTCTTTCTCAATATCATCTTTTGTCTGTACTTACTTGAGACCATGTCCATGCCCGATATGCCAAGAAGTGTTAGAAAAATAAATACAATCTATATTTTTTATCTGGGCAAAATTTACATGTGCATCTGTTACTGTTATAGAATATAATTTCTGTGGCATGTTATTTAAAATCCCCAGGTCGGTATGTCTAGGGTTCTTTTGCAATGATTATTGCTTCCTTATTCAATTGGATCTTTTCTTTCCCTGAGTAAAATGCACTGCATTGACATAGATTTTAGGAAGCTTCCCTGAATGCTCAATGAAGTTGTGTTAACATGTTCAAGTTAAGGAATTAGGATCTAAATAGTTAAGTTTTTTTTATCTCTTAGCTTCTGGATAAATTGGATCACTGAGCATTAAGTGCATTGGTAGTTTTGTATCGTGGTTAGTTTCAAAATTCAGTGCTCATTTAATTATGCAGCTGGCAACTGTTTCTGTAACTTCCAGATTAGGTTTCTTTGAAATGCATGCTGGCCTTAGGTAGCCTTCTCTATTCAAACTGCATATGGTGACATGACCTTTACATTTGACTATGTTATTCTGATAGGGTAGTCTACCTCCTCCCATTTGTTAAAAGATATATCTAATACCTCTAGCATTCATTGACCTTTTCACATAAGGTGATCTCCCACTATGATGCCATTCATAAACAGTTCTGTAATTGTTGGCCCGGCGAATGGTTTTTTATCATTGCTTTTTCCCTGGGTAAAAATAGAATTTTGGTGTAATTTTAGTAGTGATTCATGATTTAATTGTTACTTTTTTATTTTCTCTCGCAAAAACTTCATTTATGCTATTGTCACTCCTGGTTCTAATTTTGAATTAAAAAGAATATTTGTGTAAGTTTACTATCCAAGTAAAACTTTATAACATTTTATTATATAAATTCTTATATGTATTTAAATGGAAAGTCACTAATATTCTAATTGTTCACAATTTTTAGTAGACATTGGAGTTGACATTTTCATTCTGGAAGGCTATATCTTATTTGAATTCATTCAAATGATTATCTAGTACCCCTAGAAATGTGCGCCAGATCTTTGCAACTCATGTCTGAGTTTGTGAACTACCTTTTGGCTGGTTGAATCGTTAGTGCTTGTATCGAACAATTTAATGTGCAGATAAGCAATAGATCTGTTTCTTTTGTTGGGCAAATTGTGGAGATTCTCATCTATTTTTTCTTCCATGATCTGTTTTGCCCATCTCATTTGTTTGCTGGAGAATTTCTGCATCCATATAGAAGTAAAAAATTGCTCCCTGAATGATGGACCACTCTCACGTGGAATCTTTTAGCAACCTATGATGGAATATAATTACTTAACCCAGAAAGAATATTTGATAGCAGCAATAATAAAAATAACACTGAAAATGATGATAAAGTTTGCTCACCTTGAATATGACTGGTGATCGAGTTTTGCAACCCTCAGAGAAAAATTAATGCTTACTGAAGAAGATGAACAATATGTTTAGCATTGTGTAAAAATTACTTGAAGGGGAAGATCACTATTACATGAATTATAATGGAAAAAAGATATGACTGGACTAATGAAGGAGATGACCTAGTAGGAGAAAATTGGAAGAGAAGGAGATGTATGTAACCGAGATTGTCAGATTTTTCCGACTTGAGTGGAACCAAAACTTAAGGTGGCTGTTTCTGTGGAAAATGCTAGATGGACATTGCATGGTTATTTATTTATTATTATTATTTTGTATGGGATCTTGATGTAGGATAATCCTATTACAAATAACAGAAAATGGATATGTTAGAAAATGCTGTCGACAAAAAATTGTAAATTTTAACTGCTATGAATATTAGTCGCTTCAATGAGTTCAGGTATCACGGATCGCAAGTTTGGCCCTTGGGATTTCATGTCTCATGGTAGATTCTCCTCATGCTTAGGCTAGCAAGCTCGAAATTACTGGTAGACATGCATCCGTATAAAGAGGATACTAGATAATACTCGCACATGTTCACATAGACCATGTGCTTTGCTATTAGCGACCTTGTTGTGTCATATGGGGAGAGGACCACTCTCGATGCATGATATTCTCCCATTTGAAGTCTCTTACACCCACGTATTGAAAAGTGATCTTCGCATAAACACGCATTCCTCTCCATGGTAGCACCATCCCCTCAGGGACGGGTATCCCGTATCCACACAGTACTTCCTTGCACATTTGCCGGTAGTAACTCCGTATTGCCTCTGACACCAACCTCCACCATATGTTCCACAAGTATTATTTCTTCGTATGGATAGCCTTTGTCGCAGTGCCACGCACATGTCGAAGCAATGACACAATCTCCATCATCGTGCTCTGCAATGTGCTCTTCATGAAATGAAACAAACTTGCCAAAGCACATAGGCCTATTCGCACAACTCCTGCCTTTCTTATCCACCATCCCCAAAGCTGTCTTCATCAATTCCACTTGCTTGTCGACTCGGTCCGTGATCCAAAATCATTTTTCAAGAACCCACATCAATGATCTCCCGCAACCAACAATGCACATTTGAGCAGTCCCTCTCTAATACCAACTATCGTAGGCTGTAAGTCTGGTCCTCGAGGTTCCACACCTCATGGTAGCCTTCTCCTCATGCTTAAGCCAATAAATTTGAAACAATTGGCACACATGCACGCTTATACGTATGATGCTAGACAATACATGCATATGATCACATCATTAGTGCACTATTTGATAAAATAGGCCATACGCCTAGCTGTTGGCGACCTTGCCATGTCGTATTGGGAGAGAAGCACTCTTAGTGTGTGACACTAGGACACAACAATAGGTGGCTAGATATTTTTTCTCGAGTCCCAACTAGGTTCTAGTCCTTACAATTACCGGGCAAAAATTTTAAAGTATTTTCCTCTTGATTAATTTTCTCTTCTTCAACAAACTTGATGACAAGTTTTTGTCAAGTGGTGCATTGATGTAGGAAAATCCTATTACAAGATATTAATTATTTATTGTTGTATTAGGATTTTATTTCTGGATTAGATCAGGGTTTTTCGTTCTTTTGATTATCTTTTTGACTACTTATTTTGTAGGTCTTAATTACTTATTTACTTAAGCTATTAGGATTAAGATATTAATTTGCCCATATAGACATAGGCTTTGTACATTTTTTCAATAACCAATTCATTATATCAAATTATTCTCCTTAAATTTTCGAGTTTTTCAACTTTCTCCTTGAATCAATTTTGCTTCCGCACCAGGACTTGTGTTCTGAAATTTGTGCTTGTTATTGACTTGACTCCGTTGGGAAGTTTGAAGTATAAAGTGACTGCCGTATGTGATTATTAAATATATACGTGGTTTTCTTTTAATTATTTTTAACAGATTCTGACTTACATGAGTTCTTAACCCTAACAAAATGACTTTTCCGAAGTTAATTGCTGAAAAGTTATATGCTTTACAGCTTGATTTTGTCCGTATAACTTGAAAATAGGTCAACAAAACTAATATTGCCGTATGTCAGTTATGTTTGGCAAAACTTATATGAAGGTGGCTGTACATGATATTATATGATGCATGTTTGCTACTAGATTTATATGATAAAAGATTATATCCAGTGTTTAGAAAATCTTCAACAATTATTTATGATTAAATATTTACTCCAATTATAGGATTGAACATGAACTGTAATCTTGTTATATGTAACTAGCACTAGAACAAAGGTAATGTGTGGGTGCTGTTTTAAAGAATGTTAGGAAATAAGAAAAAATTTGGAATAATCGTATCCGAAACAAGTTTACTGTAGTTGCTTTAGACATAGATACTTGTTGCAGCATACTTAACTGGTGACCTGATGTAACAAAATTGAAGTAGCATAACATAGCGCATTTGTCATTAAGTCTACTGCACTGTCAAAATATGAGTATGAAACGAAATATCTTACATGTGGACAGACAACTGCCATATACATGAGAGTGGAATGAGACTAAATATGTTCTGCAGGCCTATGGTGAAACTAGAGCTAAATCATTTTAGCTGAATTTTTTCTTTTGCTTTGATGTTGGGCATGATCCCACTGAAGGGAGGTTGATGGACGTGAGATCATGTTCTACTCCTCTTTCTATTAAATGTTATAATATTATTGATATAAATGCTATAGTATTTGATTTAGAAGCCGCTTCATCTTCAGGAACATTAATAAGAACATTCTATTTGGTTTAGAAGCAATTTCATCTTCAGGAGCATTAATAAAAGCATTCTTAAAGAATGCTACAGAGGTGGTCTCTTCTGAAACAGAAGATTATTTATGAAACTGGCACCTACCTAGTGTCAGTAAGAATGTAGTTTATCAGACTTCTACTTTTAATCTGAAATCTAAAGGAGTTACAAAAACATTGAACAAACAGTATCTGTTATACAGGATTAAGAAACTCTTAGGTTATATGATCCTGGAATAGTTAATTAAAAGGATAATATAAGTTCCTTCATATAGGGTTGCCGCAAATTGCACTAAAATATTTAACTAAAGAAGGTTTAAACACCTGTACTTTGGTAGCCTAAAGGCTGCAGCATCTAATTTTTTCAGGTTCTTTACTTGGTCTAATTGAGACTAGTTTGCGCAGTGGACCAGTTAAAATTATATTTTTTTTCCCCAATTTTCTATTTTTTTAAAAAGATCAAAATATTTTAGATGTTGAATCCAAAAGTCACAAAATAAAGGCCTTAAGTAAAACATACAGCTGTTACCTACAGAGTTTACTACAAGGTCATGACTACTATGAGTACAAATGCTAAAAGAGTTAGCAATTTAGGAGCTAATAATACTATGGCTGAAAGTAATATTTATAAATCTAACATTGTTCAAACTTAAGCCATATCTTGGAAGGATGTTGACCTCCCAGATCAATGGGCTTTAGTAGGAGTAATGGAACCATCTCCAGTTGAAAATAGGAAAGTTGAACAAGTAGTTCAAATTCCTGAAGCAGAATGTTGAAGTTTATTATTTTATTTATTATTATTATTATTATTTTTAATGTGGATGAAAAGCTAGATTGAGTATAAGAATTTGAAAAGAAATCTGAAACTCATTGTAGAAGGTCTACTTCTACTTTACCAGGACTTGTGGGTACCAATTCACCTTGTCTTGGTTGGTTAAAGATGATGTTTCCACAACCAAGGTCAAGGGTTCAAGGATTGGCGCCTCCACTTCCCTTAAAAAAAAATGTTGAATATTTACCATAGTTTATCATAATGAGTAAATTTAACCAATGCTCACTGAACTTTAAACTTGGTTACTACTTGCTCACTCATCTTTCACGAGTTATTGAATACTCACTCATCTTTCCATATAGTTGCTCATCCACCACTCGTTTCTTCAAATAATTGGTGACTTTTGCCGCAACTTCCAACCACCAAGAATGTCGAATATTGATATCGTTGGAAAGCCCATGATGTTCTCTTCAATTACCACTCAAAATCTCCCTATAACTCCAAGGAATTCGATCGAAAAATTGCCTTAAAAGTCGCCCAAAAATTCTGAACATCTGCTCAGATTTTCAGATTTTTTGGGCGACTTTTAAGGCAATTTTTCAGCAACTTTTGACCATCAAAACTGTCGGATTTTGATGTCGTTGGAAAGCCGACAATGTCATATTTAATTACCACCCAAAATTTTCCCATAACTTCAAAGGATTCGGTCGGAATAAACCTATAAAGTCAGCATTTCGAACTCTGTCCAGATTTTCGCCTTTTCGAGATGCTGACTTTGTGAGTTTATTTCGATCGAATCCTTTGGAGTTATGGGGAAATTTTGGGTGGTAATTGAATAGGACATTGTGGGCTTTCCAACGGTATCAAAATCCGGCAGTTTTGATGGTTGGAAATTGCCGAAAAATTGACTTAAAAGTTGCCCAAAAAATCTGAAAATTTGGGCAGATTTTCAGAATTTTTGGGCGACAAGGCAATTTTCCGATCGAATCCCTTGGAGTTAGAAGGAGATTTTGGGTGATAATTGAAGAGGATATCGTGAGCTTTTCAACGGTATCAAAATTCGACATTCTTGGTGGTCGGAAGTTGTCGAAAAGTTGCCGCAAAAGTCGCCCAATTATTTGAAGATACGAATGGTGGATGAGTAACTATATGGAAAAATGAGTGAGTATTTAGTAACCCGTGAAAGATGAGTGAGCAAGTAGTAACCAAGTGTAAAGTTCAAATGAGCATTGGTTAAATTTACTCTTATCATAATCGACCTAATTCTCCTATTTCTCCTACTGCCTCCCAAATAAATGTCCATTAGTGCCATGCAAATAATGGAAGTAGGAATTTGTCATTGACAGAAAAGATTAAGGAAGAACTTAGGAAGGCAAATAGTGAGCCATTCGCAGAATGATTTTTCGAAAGCCACACATCTGAAGAAAAGAAAACTTTCCAAGAACAATATTATTCTTTTTTGGAAAGATACAAGGTAATTATTCCCTGTATTAAATGGTGAATTAAATTGGGTCTTTAATAGGAACAATTGAGCCCACACCCCTTGGAAACCAATGCCTTTGCTAAAGCCCAAATAGAAAGGAGGAAAGCTTTGTAAAACTTAACCGATTTAAATTCAGTTATAAAAAACAGTTAAAACTGACCAAAAAGCTTGTTTAGGAAGTGTTTATCAGCGGTTGTATTTATAGGAATGAGTGGGTCCCCCACAAAATGTGCGGATAAAATTGGTTTGATCCTTTTTTACCGTCTATAAACAGGTTTATAAACCAAATGTATACAAAGTCTTCTAAAACTAGCCTAGAAATTGGATAGAATTGAAGACAAATAATTTATCCTTGACAAAATAGATAAAAGAATCTGTTTCTAATACAACTCAAGATGTAGTAGTATTGCAAAAACCTATATTTAGACCCACCATGCCAAACTTAAGATCGTTTAAAGTTCCAAACAATGAGTTGGTTGAAGCTATGTGATGTAGAATTGATTGAAGAAATTGGGAGCAGCAGGATAGGTAAAGAAGACAGCCATGGGAGGAGGAAGGAGAGGAGGAGGAGAGAAGAGAAGAAAGGGCAGTGGAAAAGGAAGAAAACTTCTGCAACACTCCAATTCAATTCATTCTATCAAATCTCTGTCGTCCATACATAAAAGACTGCATACATATATACAATACAAAGCATAAAAGGGCTTAGGCCAGCCCAACACATCATACAAAGCCCAAAGCAAAATAAAATGCTTGGGCCAGCCCAATACATAATGCAAGCCCAAAGAAAATACTAAACTAAATAGCCCAAAGTAGATGTACTCATCACTATGACTACTAGATTGGAAAATCTAAACCTTTAACAAAAAGAAATAGGAGTAATCACAAACTGAGAGGAAGATACATCGATCAGTGATTTAGAAACTCAATTTAAAAATGAAATTGAGTCTCTTATGCAAGTCAACACTACTCATGCTCCTTATTGAGGACATAAGATTAGGAATTATTACTAGGCCTTCTTTGGTCAATGTTAGATATGAACGTGAAGCGAAAGTTAAAAGTTTCATATCATGAAGGAACAAATTAGAGGACCCATTTCTATTTATGTATTGTATTGGACCCATTAGAAACAAAATGTCCCAATTAATTCGATGACCCATGCGTTTGAGAATTTTTTTTTTAAAAATGGAAAAATGTAAAAATAATAAAAAATAGTATTTTAGTTGAATATTATTATAACCATTATATGTAATACATATATCTCTGAAAAATGCATGTAAAATTATTAGTAGATGAATTTATAAAATAAAAAATTAAAAAAAAATTATGTTTATAAGATGTGTCCACATAGTCATGTAATTTTGGATCATTTTAAGCGTATTCCATATCCTAAATTTTAGGAAAAATGATCCAATTTCTAGATATGTACTCGTATCGCACACAAGACCTAAATAAAAACAACACAATCCCTAACATTGCTTGGGTTTCTTCATTCGTCATTTTGATGACAAACCATTTCAAATATTTTCTATGCATATAGTTTATAATGCATAGGTACGGACACACGTGTCTGACATGATACGTGTCAGATACGCTGACATGCAATTTTTCAAAAAAGTATCGTCACGACACTTTGTCAACATGTTGATTAAATTCTTTAAAATTTTTCATTTATATAATATAAATTTAATTTTATAGTTGATATTAATTTTTTTGTTGAAATCTTTTAATTATGAATACTTATTTATTATTTAATAATAATTTTGATTTAAAAATATATAATGTTTTTAATAAAAATGAAAAATGCTTATGAAAGAGTGTCCGAAAAGTATCGGTATTGACTACGGCACGTGTCGGACGCGAACATACTACTCCAGTTGAAGTGTCCGTGCTGCAGAACATATAGGTACTAGAATGCTAATGCCTGGCCGGTTTTTGAGTTATTATAGAAAGAGACCATACACGAGGCCCTTGATTGGTTATCGTTAGCTTTGTATGAGTGAGGTTATGCATGGGTTGGTTAGCCACTATTTCGTTCATTATAATTCACTGACCCCAATTTTATCTGTCTTGCTAATTTTGAATGTTTTAGCCTCCATACTTAGTTGGATTTCTAATAAATGTGTTCATTCCTTTATTTACTGATCTGGGGAAAAAATACTAATTTGCTCATAAGTGTTCATATAATGCAGATGTTGATAAGGCTTCTTGAGCAAAAGGGATAGGGTGGCTGGGAGGCTCTGAGCTAGTGAAATGATCTCTCTCGATGTGGATTTGTGCCATGTGAGAAATGAAGTGTGGTAGTGTTGAGGTCTTTCTTTCTACTTACACCCAGGAACTGTATTTTCACCCTGCGAAGTTTGGATGGATCATCTTTCTTGAGTTTCTTACCTTTGTTTTAGGGCCTAAAAGGATTTGCACTGCTTTCCATATTTGCAAGTTACAGTTCAAACTTCCTTTGCAAACTTGTTCTTCCAGCTTTATTATGTCAAGTGGAAGTTATGGTAGAGCTGGATCGTTATATAAAAGGCTCCTTCATACTTTTCATTTTAGAATTGAGTGTTTTGAGTATATGTTGGAGAGTTTGAAAGTCTACTTGTGTTTTCTGATGTTTGATTTGAATGCTGATTAATACAGACTTCCCAAGGCAATACAGAATCTGAAATTGCAGTGACCTTGATGAGGGACCCAAATATTTGAGAATTGGCCGTTAAATATTTTTGTTGGTCCATCTGGGCCGAGCACTATGGGCTAATCAGGCTGGTATGTCCAGCCCCAAGCTGTCCATGGACCTGGTCAGCCTGGCCTAAATGTAGGGTTTCCCTATGGCAAACATTTTGGTTTGGAAGCCCAGTATTTTTTCTATTCCTAACATGAGAAAGAGAATACCTTGGACTTCTCTGTCTGTTTTGGGATGAACTCTGAATTTGGCACTCTAGGCTGGGGATAAAGCCAGCTAAATTTGAAAATGAGATGTGAATTTCCTTGATGGCCTCGGAGCATTTTATAAATTTTTGAAAGGCTTGATACCATTTTCAGGTTGGATAATCATTGTGATGGGTGTCACACATAAGTGAAGGTAGGAATGATCTCCCGCCCACAGTGGCTAGGAGTTTCTAATGTTTTGACATCAAATATTTTTCCTTTTGAAAAGTAAAAAAATACGATTTGTAGGTAATTGTTATCATGCTTACTGTAGGTACGAAATCAGGATTAGCTTTGGAAGCGAACATTATCCCATTATACTGACAATTAAAAAGATGTAGTTTATCAAACGATAGTTTTCTTGCTTATTGCTCATAGTTCCTAAGTTAATTTACCAATGCACTCGGTCAGTCTTAGGTATCATTTTGTAGGGTAATTTTATAATCAACTTGCCATTACAATACTATACGAGCGCGTGGCGGTGTTTGGCATCTGCATTTCATCTTATGATTCATAGTTCCAAAGTTAATTTACTGTTCAAACAGATATTAATTTATAGATAATTTGATAATAAGTGGCTAATATAATAATAATACGGTGGGATTTGTGTTAAGCACGTGGATGGGTCTGGTATCTACGTTTCTTTATTCTCTTAGAATCTGATAAAGTTAATCTAAAAGTGATCAAAGAATATTTTGGCATCTAAATTGCAATGCCTCCACAACTTGATGAAATGGCCGGTTCCATTATTTTTTTATTTGCCTATTTTTTATATAGAAAATGGGGGTTGGTAGGTGGAGAATTGCAAATTCCAAGATCTATGATTAATATAAAATTCATACCTGAATTGATGGAAAATTATAGTATATTTGTTAGGTTAAGATTGATCTAAATGCATTGGATTGATCTTATTTAAATCAAACTCATTTGAACCTCGTAATTGAGTAGTGCTTGAAAATATGAAGGATAAGATTTAAAAAATTGAAAGAATATGATGAATGGTAATGCTTTTTTTTTTTTTTTTTCCGTTAGAATTTGTGTGTAATAACTATTGTTCAAATACTGACAGACCAATTTTGTGTGTTTGGGAATTGGTTTCGTGCCCCGCTTAAAATTTTGGGCGGAGTGTGTATCATTTTTTGTGTTAGGTCAATCCTGCCGTGCATGGATACCAAGTTGGACCCTTTGGAAGGTGTTGACTTGTATGTGAAGTGAGCGTTACACATAACATAATATTGTGTTGACTTATATATACAACTTCATTCTATTTGAATTGTTCCTTCTTCAAACGGATGTCATTGGCTTAGTTATCTTTCCCGAATTTGTAACAAGTGTCTGACAATTGAGTTCTAGCTCTTTTATCCAATTTCAAGTATCTTATTGCATTATTCGATGCAAATTATCTAGAATTTCTATTTCAAATTGTTTAAACTTGATCTTAGTTAACTCTTTGATCTGCTAAGATGACTTGATTTGTCCCCTCAAATAGATTAGTATTGTACATTACCACATTGCAGTACCACCGATGTATTAGAAATGATACCTTGGGACGGATGTAATTGTAAACTCTCAGGAGAATCGATGACTGCATCTTTAGGAATTGATGCAACACCTACTTTTTGAGATATATTCTCCAAATACCTAATCAACAAGAGTCCATGTTCATGCACAATTATACATCAATTGGTAGGCCAATGCGACATTGTGGTCTAAGGGGACAACAGCATAAGAGGCCAAATTCCAGAGGTCCACAAGGAAATCTTGCATTAATGTGAAATTTTAATACGCCTGGACAGTATGTATTTTGACAGTGATTTGATTGTGTCCCTATTCAGTTATTGTATAAACATAAGGGGAGGCGGTTATTTTCAGAAATATCAACAAATGAAAAGAAAAAAAAAAATTAATTAAGGCTGAACCAAGATAATTAAATTTGGCTTCTGGCAATTTCTGATTATTTTGACTTAATGCATTTACGGTACTTTGTTACAAGAAGCTGGTAGGAGATAACAAATTAATTAAGATCAACCAGTGAAAGAGCAATAGATCCAGTCTTTTGCTGAATAATTCTTCAATATCCTTGTCATGTCCATGGGCTGATCTTTAGGGAACTCTGGTCTTCAGATCTTTCACCGGCCTAAAAAAGGATTAAAATATGCAAAATGGGAAAGATGGACAAGAACAGAGACTCTGCAGTACAAATGATGCAAAAACAAATGGCATTGATGGAAAAAGATATGAATTGTGATAAAAAAAATTCAATAGTTTGTGCAAGCAGAAAACCTTACATTTGGGGTCTGAACATCATTTGTTTCTCTGCAAAATCTACTAGATGACTCTTCCCTGCTAGAAGAACTCGAAACCAAAGGCACAACTTGATTATCACCCTCATCATCATCACTACCATCATGATCATGATCGTCATCCGGATCACCCTTGTCTTCACTGTCATTTTCCGCATCACCATCTTCAAGATCACAATCACCATTGATATTATGGTTTCTTGTATTGCTACAGGACTGACAGACAGAAACTGTGGGTGCAAGCTTGGGACCGGAGCCCGTCCATGGGGTTGAAGATTGGCAAACATGGCAGAGAAGAGTTCTAGTGTGCTTGGCTACAAGAAAGTTTGCTGTGTGGACTCTTGCATCACAATCCCAGCACAGGATTGCTTGATCCGAGTCACAGTACATTCTTGCAGCAGACTTGCATAGCTCACAATTCTTCATCTTCTTCTCAAAATATCTCTCTTAAACACATATGGATTGCGTAGTATGTTTGGGTTCTCAGTTCTATTAAATATATATATGTGTGTGTCGGTTTCCTGATATTCTGGCTGAAACCGAGGAAATAAGTAGAAGATGTGAGGAAAGGGGTGCAGGTTGCTACTTCTTATGGCTCTGTTTAGCAGCCTATCATATATACGTCGACAATGATGCTAAATGGGCTAGGCCATGGCTACATCCGGACGACTCGTTTGTACTGTCTCCTATATAATGTTGTCCGCTGAAGTCTACATGTAGCTTCAACAATCATCCCGTCTTATTTTTTTTATTTTTTATTTTTTTTTAAGGTCCACTAAATAACAGACGAGATTTTTAGGATCTCGCCTGCTCCAAAGTGGGGTTGGGTGTTTGAAACTTGCTTTTTTTTTGGATTTTTATTTATTTATTATCTTTAATGCAACCGATCTTATTCTAAACATATGAATTTCAAACTTATGTCAGATCTCCTTATCAAACTTGAGTAAGCCATCGTTGCTTTGTAAGGTTGACAGTGATACATTGTAGGTGAAGGATTTGTTTGTCGTTTATTGTAAACAAAACCGTCACAATGATTTTGATAGTTGTACACTGAGGTTGACACCCCGGTGTACCGACCCCTCACAACAAGGGGGGCCCACGATGAAACAAAAATTCGTGAACCCCCCCTGTTGTGAGGTGATCGTTAAACCCGGGTGTCAACTCCGATGTACAACTAGCATGGTCCCGTCACAATATGTATGACGTGTTAGGTCATCAATCGACTTGGACCACGGGCGATCCAACTTTACACATCTTATATTTCTAATCAGAGTAATTTTATGTGAAGCATATAATGTGGTCGACATAAAAAAACAGCTATTTTCTTATGGATTATTCCATATGTACTGAATGAGGGGTCCCAAATGGTGTCTCCATTTTCACAATGCATGCAGGCTCCGCATGAATTTAAAAATGACATCATCTGGTCCCCACGCCTATTGTGAGACGTGACTAGTAGGTAAAAGATTGGATAAAAAAAATTGGTACATATAGTATTATCATTTTCTTATATACTTTTTATTGACAAAATTGCATTGGAAGCTCAACCTCTTTGTTGTATAAATAGGAACAATATTGCAAAGAGAATGAAGAGATGCTGTCTACAATAAGGAAAAAGTCACAAGTACAAGATAATGTTGATAAAATTTATACCAAAATTAACGTGGGGCGCATGATTGGCCTCTCTCTTCATCTTCCAATGATTATATGCCATGTGTTATCTGTACTTATAACATGATTGCTATAATAAACCATTAATCTAATGACTAATAATAATAATGAATCCCATAACTATCAGTCTTTTTGTTATGTTCCCAATTCCATGTACAAATAAATTTTCAGTTGGTGAGAGCAATGGGGTTCAATTATATCATTATTGTTGGTGGCCCATTTTACTTGGTTGATTTTATTTCACAAGTATTTCTCAAATTACCAAATTACCTTTCAACCATTTTTTATTATCAACTTACTATTTTTACTTATTAAAAGTTCAACTATTATTTACACTACTGTTTCAATTGTTAAAACCATTTTTTATTATGAAATTACCAAATTACCATTGTTTTAAAGAGCTAAACATTCTGTAAAAATCAATAAGAAAAACCAATTTTGAAGGGTAGTGGTCATGAAAATGGTCAGATTTGGTTGCTATTAGAGACAGCAGGGATTGTGGTGGTGGGGGTTCTATGGTTTGGGAGTGGTGGTTGATGGTGTTGGTGGTCATGGTGGTGAAAGTGGTTGGGAACGTGTGTGAACGTAGGGTATGGCGATGGTGGTGAGGTTTAGGTCATGGTGGTGATTATGTGATATCATGACTACTATATGTGTTGACAAAGAAAAATAATAATTAAATTCAATTCATAGTGGTCCACATGTTTGAACATATTAATTTTACATTGATGCAGAGAGTATGGCGAAATTAATTGACGTTGAAGACTAATGAGCTCCCAAAAAAGTCAGTAGGGGGTTGAACCATAATTTTTCAGTAAGTTGAAATTCCTAAAAAGAAAAATTGTTTTTTATTGATTATACTCATATGGTGAAGTATGTTAATTCTCTATTTTTAAGAATTGAAACGTCAAGTTTATACAAGTTCACCAATTTTCTACTATCGTGATTAAGAGCTGCACAAGGGTTGACATTTATTTTGGTTTGTTTTCAAAAAGTGGAGATTGTTAAGATTTGAGTGGTTATACACGTACAAGTACGAATTTACAGAACCCGTACCGTTCACTCACATACACGGGATGGGTGCGTGGTTTTTTTTTTTATTTTAATACAAATGGGTCCCGTGTGGGACCCATTTTTTGTGACTGTTGGTAGGGGTTCTGTTTGACAGAACCCTTGTACACCCAACATTGCCGTTAAGATTTTTGTCCTGAGATTGTGAAAAGTTCAACGGTCTCAATTTCAAATATGATATACAAGTTTATGGTGATTACAACTTACCTTTTTGAATTGTTTATCCCCTATTTTATTTGGAATCTTTGGAGAGGAAATTTTTGCAACAATTATTACAATCT